GGTAAAAATTCAAGCGTTATTTATGCGAATGGATGCATAATACTATCTACGTAAAATTGTCTTAAATTGTGCATAGTTTTAAACAAGTCTATTTTAAGTCATTCTCTTTACTAATAATGGTCGACATATGAAACGCACTTGATGCAAAGAATTTTGAAGGGGGGAATATTAGAGCAGTAAGAAGCCATTGAACTTCTGCCATCAGCTCACAAAAGATCAGAATTTCTTTTATGCCCATGTGATAACTTAATAGCCATCGTTTCTAGCTCGATAGTGGTTTTTAAAGCGTCGACTCTGTTGTAATGCCTGACGCAGGAATGTTACCATAACAAGTGCCAACAACGATGGTTGCACTATGACTATGCGAATTTTTATAACTTCAGAGCTTGTGTTTTCGTCCTAGTGGCGTAGTCTGAAGGTTATGCCTGTAGCCTTCCATTTTTCAAAGTTATAATACATTCTACGCCTATAAGCCCTATTAAATTTCTGGAAATGATTTGAGACCCCGCAAATGCAGAAACCAGAGTTCTGGTAGATTTAAGAACGTAAAAGAGCAGGTTTTATAGTGAGTCTGGACTTGTATTTCATGTCGATGATTTTTTTTCAATATGAAGTCGAGTAACGAACACTAAAACTACAGCTAAATGAACTTCCAAAAGTGAATTATGATCAATGTTCGCATTCTTTTCAGGAGATGAAGCATTCGACAAAGGCAGTAGCAAAACTACAGTTACCGGGTTATAATAACTGTTTTATAGGGAGTTTTAAGATTAAGGTTTTTTTGGTAAAATGTTGAACTAAAGATAAAGACATTAAATTAACTTGCTTTCGAGACATAGAAGATTGTCACGATGACTTGCAGCAAAACCCATGATAACTAAGCAAAGTAAAATGAATTTCCAATTCAATTGATGGACTAATCCATTTCATGATTCACATAATTATATTTATTAAGTTCTTAGGAAAAAAAGTGTGGATAGAAAAAGGGTGGGTCGTCCTGTTCCATACAGAATACAAGAATGCTACTTTTTGCAAATTGTGTTAGAAATGCAGCAGGCCTCATTCGGATGTCACCCATGATCTTCGCCTGACCTGAATAAGCACTTTCAAATGAGGTGCTAATTGGGTCCGATTTTTTACCAGATCTTAGGTATCGTGCATTCCTCTTTTTTTCCTTTCATGGACTATAGAAGTCCTGAATAATACGTTGTCATGGTGACATCAACTATAATGAGTGGTACTTAGCAAAAATAAAGTTGTTTTCACTGTTCAGTCTCATGATGATACCCTACGAAAGCTTTGAGATGATTCACAAAATAAACACTCAGTTAAAAACACTATAGGATAATAAATACAATTTACGTTATTTTCGACAGGTACTGACCTTGGAGAATATGAGCAGCCAACACATGCATGTCATTGTTTCGACCGATGAGACGTCCACTGTGCAAATCCCTTCGGAGTTGTAGATAGAGGCAATATCTAATAATGCATTTAAGTAATAAATGCTTCTAAATATATGGTTAAGTAGGACACTTTTTAAGGCGAACCATAAACATACTTTATCTCCTATGGTTATCAACTCATGCTAACATTGCACATGTTCACAGGATTGTATGATGGCGATCATTAACATTCTTGGCATTAAAAATTAACTGACAATTAAATTGTACCAACCAGCCATCTGTTGTCAAAATTACAAGTAAATAGTAGGAATGAAGATGATCATAAAATACTATGCAATATCCACTTTCGTGAGTTTATAGAGATAAGGTGGAGTGGAGCGTGTTATATTCCAAAATTAATCGAAGTAACAGCATCTAAAATTCTTCGTCTAACTTGTGTGCCTAAGTTTGTTGTTACCTTTTCCCATAATTTTGGCAAAATTTTCGGGAAAATATTTGAATCTTGCATTTAGATGATCATATAAGAGAAATGAGGGGTCAACCTTGTACAAATTTTTATTAACGAGGCCTCAATTTTGTACTCTTAAATTTTAATGAAAAGCGGTTTGAACCAAATGGTGGGGTTTCTTTGAAGAAAGTACAAGGAACTTTAGCGTCAATTCGAGACAAAAATAATTGGGGTTTTACGTTAAAAATACCTGGACTTTTCTTGTTTTAGTTCTTCCAAGGGCTTGGCAGGGTAATGTTTGACACGGAAATTCAGCGACCGAGGTATGACATCTTTCAAAGGAAAACGGCATTATATTAAGGCCTCCCTGATTATCCAATTAGATTTGGAATTAAAACCAGAAAAAGACTCACGTTTGAGTTGTTTGTAAACGGTCTTTGAAAGATCAAGCCATTGCTGTACCGAAAAGACGAGTGGAATGTCAGTTTCTTTCATGTTTAAAAGAAAGGATGCGGCCTCAACTTACCCTCTGCTTATTCTTGTCTAAGTACCGGAGTCCAAAGTAATCACTTTCCAGAAGACCGCCCAGTTGATTTATCACTTCATCAAATAGCCACTGACCAAAAACTGCAGCCTTAAAACAAGCCAGAAATTTATTTACTTCTCTTAATTAAACATGACATTTAAAAAGTAGTGCCTTTACCATAAAAGGGTTAAAAGATGTTGTATATTTAGGGTAGAGAAGTAATTAATCATTCTTTTTTGCAATATTTTAGACAAATCCTGAGCCCTCCTTGTAAAGAGCTATGTATGCCGATCCACACGTCCCCCAACGATTTTTGGTAAGGAATAAGTATTTCGGAAGAGGCGGAGACATTCACCCTTTACGAGATTTTCGGTAGCCGTATTTGGTATTTCAGTAAAAAAAATCTGCTAGCGATCAGAGCAACTTGACTTTAAGAAGACGACAAAACTACTTAAAATGAATTGAGTTTTCTTTTTAGGTTGTTAGAATTCTCTGCTACTTTCCTCCCTTTTTAACTAGTACGATCAAGT